ATGTCTCTGTCCGTCAAATAAATAAATAAAATCTTTAAAAAAAATAAAATAAAAATAGGTAGAAATGGACATACCCTGAGATATCCAAGTGTTTTCCTTACAAATGAATGGATGAATGAATGAATGAATGAATGAATGAAGTACACAGACATGTTTAAGTCCATTACATCTCGGTTTTTCGCTCTCATGAAGGGGGTCTAATAAAGCCTCCCTGGCACTGTTTCTGCTCCCAGCCTACCCCACAACTACTAGGGCCTCAGGGCCTTTCTTTCACATCATCAAAACTATATTTCCAAGAGGGAATGACTCTCCAGGACTCTCCAGGCCACTCCCTGAAAAACAATCAGGACCTTTCCAAGACATAACATCAAAACCCAAACATCTTCCCTAAGAAGAGTAAAAGGGGCCTGGCCCAATGCCACAGATTGTAGGGTGAACAAATCATGAGCCCTATCTATGCAACTAAGAAAACTCAGGATGCCCAATGCTTGGGCTTGACCATGACTCAAGACTGAATAATACAAGGTCATTTCCACCTCCCTTAGATCATGGGCAAGATAAGGGTGGTTTATAACATACTGGGGGTCCACTCTTTGTCGCTTTTACTTTTCGACAGGGGGGCACTGTATGTGCCTCAATAAATCCCAAAATTGGGATGCCTGGGTGGTTCAGTCAATTGAGTGTCTGCCTTCCGCTCAGGTCATGATTCCAGGGTCCTTGGATCAAGTCCTGCATCAGGCTCCCTGCTTAGCAGGGAGCCTGCTTTTCCCTCTGCCTCTGCCTGCCCCTCCCCCTGCTTGTGCTTTCTGCTCTCTCTCAAATAAATAAAACCTTTTTTAAAAATAAATAAATAAATCCCAAAACTGCCACAGCTACCCACTGAGAGATTCTGCAGATAGAAACCAGCCACCCCAACCCCTCACTCTGGGTGCATTTAAAATCGGACAGTGAGAAACACATACCTCATGCTCACAGATTTTGATGACTACTTTTGCTATCTGCGTCAATTTGTGATTTCCTAAAGGAATAAGAAAGTATGATTAATTCAAATGGAAACACGATTATTAACACCTAACCATGGGGTTATACCTCCACTAACAACCTTTCAACTTGCTTCCCCCCAGGATTAGGCTTCAAAGGCTAAAAACCAGAAGATTCTGGCTCCTGTTATTGGTTCAAATTATGTGAATTCTCCCCTAAACACTGAGCAATCTTTGGTGCCTCAATGTCATCTCTGAAACTGAGTAATTTGTGTGGGATTCCTACAGCTGACAGGTTAATATCTGGAAGATGCTTTCACGTTCGAAAGGCTCCAATTAGTGGAAAGGAGCCTCATTCGCCCATTGTTCCAGACTCCACATGTAAAGTAACAGGGGAAAGAAAATTAGCTCTGCTGGGCCTGGTGCTTCGAAATACATTTTCTTATTAACTCCTCAAGAAGCTGTACTAGGAAGCAGGTATGAATGCTCCCCTTTCATTAATGAGTAAGCCAAGGCTCAGGAGTCATTCTTACATGAGACTACTTAGCTAATGATGAGTTGAAAATCTGGCCCCAGGTCTAACTCTAAATCCCCCACCTGCACACTAAACCAGAAGACAAGATGGCCGAAAAGTCATGCTTTCTTCAGACATTATGGTATTTCCAGACATTGTCAATTTCTCGGCAAAAAGATTTTACATACACACACACACCCCTAGATTTCTGGCTTGCCTTGAAAACTCAAAAAATCTAATAACTCTGTGTCCAAAAACGACTGGGGTATCCAGTGGTGACCCCTTCAGACCAGGTAGGAGTTCATTCCCCCAGTTTATCAGGCTCTAGTTCTCCCCTTGGCCAATGGCCATGCGGGCTTGTGCTGCTATTTTTCTGCCACCTGATCTCATCCACTTGCTCATGTGATCTTACCAGCCTTTCTATATATTTGAGTTAATAATCTTTACATGAGAGCGCCTGGGTGGCTCAGATGGTTAAGCGTCTACCTTCGGCTCAGGTCATGATCCCAGGGTCCTGGGATCGAG